AGACTTTCAAAACCCTTATATACACCAAAAGTTCTACTGAGGAAGACGGGATAATTAAAAGCAAAGCCCACCCACCATGAAATCTGTTTAAATTTTTTTAAAAAATCAAGTTCCAATTAGAACTGGTTAGGTGGAACAAAGTGACCAGAGTTGCCTTCAGATCTTCAGCATTACATGGTAAAATTCCCCCCATGGGCTCTGTTTGGGTACCTGAGGCTAAGATACTATGCAGTAGGGACTAAAAATCTGATGCAAAACTATTATCAGTCAAAAAGTTGAGACCCCCCCCCATCTTCCTCCCTCTTGAGAGTGCTTTTTTCCTTCTAATAAAACTGCTAGACTTTACTACTTTTCATGCCTTGCCTGGAATTTTCTCCTGCAAGAACTCAAGATCTGAGAAACACAACATGATCCCAGACCATGGCTGGTAACATTAAGACTTAATTTCTAAGGAGTATGTTTCAGATACTATGCTTAGAGGTGCTTAGCTCAAAGTGTCTCCCAGATGGTTCTTAACCACTTAACCTAATTTCAGTTTTAAGAAAAATTTACTTTATCAGACTGAAAACAAATCTGAAGTTACCACAGTACATATGTATACAAATTTATTTACTAATAGTCCTTTTCATGATTAAATATACTTGTAATTTAGACATACTGAATATCACTGAACTCATTGTCAACAAAATTATTTAATGTAACTGGGAATTTTACTATCAACTGTCCCCAAATAAAAATGGACAGAAGTATTCCCCCTCAATGCCAAATAAGATAGAAGTGCTAAAAGGTTAATTTGTTAAAGGAAAGTATTATGTTTTTGGATATGAGTTATCCTCCAATAAACTCATGTGATAGACAGAAATGTTAAGAGGTGAAATGATTAGACTGATAGCTAAAACCTAATCAGGGGATTAATCAATTTGATAGTTTGATAATTTGAATGGATTACTGGGTGATAACTGGTATGACTGGAAGAAGTAGGTCACTGAAGGACATGCCCTTAAGGAATCATATTTTGGCTCTGTGAGTTGAGTAGTTTTCCTTCACCCTGCCCTGCTAGGATGTTCTGCCTCACCTCCATCCGGCTCAGAGTGATATAGCCAGCTGTCCGTGGACTGAGCCTCTGAAACTGTGGGCCCAAATTAAACCTTTTTCTCCTCCAAATTGTTCTTGTCGGGCCTTTTGGTCACAGTGATGAAAAGCTGACTAACACAGAAAGGGAAGGTAGTATTCCAATTATGACACAAATGAATTTAAAGAATCCTTAAAGTTAACAAGAGAATCAGCTTGCTATATACTCTTGGCTCTTGGAATACTTTTACCTATACCTTGAAAATTTTCTTTCCAGATAACTGTATCTGGTTGTAAAAGTATCCTGGCCTATGACTTTTCTCAGGGAAAAAAAAAAAGAATACATTAAGTCATACTTCAGATAACTTTCAAGATTCTCCAGTGATCTAGATGGGTAGAAAATAAAGTTACACAAATGAGGTTTAAGATCTGAAGGATTTTGTTTTTGTTTTACACTCTATCACTATATATTGGTTCAATTCAAAGGTTTTACTTACTGATATCCAAACACCATGGGCATTATACAAAATGAATTATCACATGATTATTTTTTGAGTTTGGAGAAGCCTGATAGTGACAAAAAGTACAGAGTTCACCACCTTTTAAGGCACATGAGGCTAAAAGACTAAGCCATGAACAAAAAGTCTACTAGAGAACCCAAAACAAACAAGACTTCTATATTGTTTATATACTAACATTTTTGGCTTAAATATGAAGATATTTGACAAATTTTACAATTTTTAAAGCTCATCAGAATCTGGATAACTTTATATAATAATTTCTTATAATTTTAGTTTTCTTGAGATTTAGCATTTCAAAAGCTAAATAAAATGAGACATCTACTCAATCTATGAAGAGTCATTATTTTATTAAGTCAGTTTCTGAGATTAATTCAGCAATATCTAATTTACCCAAGGGACAAAGAAATTAAACTAAGCTGTCACATCCAACAAAATATGAGACAAGTATTACTTTTAAGTTTTTGTTGAGAAAGAATGAATTAGCCCTTTATACCCCACTACACATTATAGCACACTGTCTTCCTTTAATAGGGTGCAAAACTGTAGAAAAATACACACCATTTTATTTAACTCAAGATTCATGCTTTTAAAAGTAGCAGTAAGGACTGAAATACCATTCATTATAAGATCTCTAATCAAAGGTCTCTGGAAAATCTGTGGGAACTTTAGCATGTACTTTAACAAGTTTTATTTTTTAAAGAGGAGAATTATTTGCAGCAATGTCAGTTCTGTACAAATGAGAACCAACACTGGGGCAAATAAGCCTTGCCTTAACCCTAATTGGTTAATAAGGGTTTGTATTTAAGAAGGATAAATACTGAGTTGCATTTCTTTTATTTGAACTTAGAGAGATAACAGATTGAATAAATAATTACTTATTCCAAGAAAGAGATCATTCAAACTTTAATTATCCACATGAAGCATTAAAAAGATAAAAATCATTTCTTTTTGGGCTGGCTTCTTTTTTGGAGGGATAGAAAAAGACTTGGTAGTCTTCCTCTTAGATTATAAGCAAGTTCAAGTTATTTATTTATTTATTTATTTATTTATTTATTTTTAATGAAAGAAATATTTCATTGTTTTCCAAATCCTCTTTATGGGTTGGCTCTAATTTATAGTAAAGATAGTGCATCCAGATTTACACAAAATTTTATGACACACTTCTACAAACAACCAAACCTTTACAAACTTTAAAAATTCGCTTTGTGGCACTTTGGTAAATTTGTTTAATAGTGACTTAAGTTAAATCTAAGGTAATAAAACTACGTGATTTTGGGGAGAATACAGGAATTGGTCTTAAAATCACATCATGACCCTGTTTAGGAATTTCTCTTAGTGACCACTGGGATTTTCTTTTACAGGTCACCATATAAAGTAAATAGTTTCCAAGTATGTGACAGATAAATGCTGCTCACATTGGTCTCCCAATGTGGCCTATTTTCCTTGAATCATAGATAAAGAGCAGGCAATAAGTCTGTTGGATTTTGTTTTTCCTAAAAGCAAGTAGAGAATTCAGATGTATTTGCTCTTCTCTCCCTTTATTCTTCCTATACTTGGAAGGGAAAATAATGAGGTTTATCTTTTCCATCTTCTTCCAAGTAGTCTGGGGTCTTTTCCCAGCTCTCTTTGAGTCCTCTAAGCTGGGTAGGGGCACCAAAGAGGAAGTAAGAGGAAAGTCAGAAAGATACACATATGATTTTATTTTAGTAAACTTTTACATTCTGACTTTAGAAGTAGTCTTCAAAAGGTTACCACTAAATCACAGACCTTGCAAAACTGCAATGTATTAATTTAACCCTCAGTTTCAATTCTTTAACCTACAAGGAATCAAAATGAAATCAAATTTCAAAACAAATGATTACAGTGAAGTTTAAGCCTTATAACAACTGAGAATTAAGAATTTAAGTTGATCTTTTTTTTAATGAGCTAATGTTAAAAAGAAGTAGAAATTCTATTAACCTCTGGACTTTAGAGTTTAAAAAAATATTGATTATGACTCTTCCTACAGAATCAAGATTACCTCCTAAATGTTATTCACTATAAAAAGAAAATTATGAAAGTCGAAAAGCAGCTTGATTGTCAGTAGTATCACTTTCCATCTTCTTTAACTCATGTGCGTGTTCAAAGACATGTAGTAGAAGAAAAGGAATCACTCTATTTCTAAATCTGTAATAAATTCTCTGTGAAAACATTTAAAGAATCTACATGATTTCACATTTAAATTTAGAGTTCTATTAATCACCAACAAATTAAGGTGTTTTCTGTAACTCACTGATCTGTATACTTACAGCAATTTATAGAGAAGTTTAGCAGAACTCTAAAGGCTGTCTGTCATCAGTTAATTTTGAACATTAACTTGTTCACATGCCTGAAGCTGTTACACCAAATATTTTAAAATTAGAGCTGTGCTGGATGAAAAATGACCCACAAAAAGAACTTGAGAAACAGAGAATGATAAGGGGAAGGGGAGCGAGAAGAGAGAGATTTTTTTATCTTTGAGACAATTTTGCAGCCTAAAATTTCAGAAAGCAATGGGAAAATAGAATCAGTTGTTCTGCTTAATTGCTTTCTCTACTTGCATATGAATCAACAGTATCAAGTCTACAATTCAGCTACTACTAACATTATATCCTCAGTAGTTATCATTTGCAGAAAGGATTCAATTTTACCTAAAGGGAAAAATGAAAACAAAAAACCTAACTGGAAAAAAAGGGTAGGGCCTGTTCTTTTACACCTTTGAGTTAACAATGAATGAAAACAAATAGAACTAAATCTAATGAAGGCACTATAGTAAACAGCAATCCACACTTTACACACACCCCTACTCTACCCCACCCCCGCTTCAAGAAAGATTCCCACAAGGAATTAAGAATTATGCTATGGCCCTTTAGAAAAAGTAAACTAAGAAATCTTAACATTAAGAAGGGAACTAAGGGGCTAGGGATATGGCTCAGTGGTAGAGCACTTGCCTGGCATGCGTGAGGCCCTGGGTTTGATCCCAAGCACCACAAAAAAGGGGAGGGGGACTGAATTATGATCTATACACATGTACATAACAAACTACTTGTCAGCAGTACCATGAAGTAAAATCTCCTAAAAAGTACTAGTCTTTGAAAAAAACCCACTTAACTACCATAAAGTTTAAATAGTCAAAACATTTACTTAAACCAGTGGTTCTTAAACCAGAATGTGCATCAGAACAGCCTGGCACTGGTTGAAAAACACAATGCTGGGCTACTCCCCCAGCGTTTCTGACTCATTGGGTGTGGAGTGGGGCTGATAGTAAGCAATCCTAAAAATTTCTCAGGTGATGCTAAAGTTGTAGTTCCTGGGACCACCCTCTGAGAATCACTGGCCTAAGTTACTAATGGTATATCAGCACAGCCCTAACCAAAATTTTGGTCAAGATGCATGTAAACCAATAAGGATAGAATAATGCTTAGAAAGAACACTGATAAATTCATCCTTATTACATCAAAACATCAACATCTGCTTCATGGTCTTCCTCAGTCACTTTCAAGGACAGCACTTCTTCATTAAGGAAGAGCCCACTAAGCCTCTCCTTCCGGGCCTGCCTCTGCTCCTTCAGCTGCCTCTTGCGAAAGGCCTTCTGCTGTAACTTCCGCTGCTTAGATCGTTTCTGTCAAAGTAAAAAGCTCTAGATCAATAAGGTTTACTTCTTGGAATATCCACCCCAAAGTGTTTTTTATAGCTCAATATTCTCCTTTCCCAATTTTAAGAGATGTTCAAGATTCTCCTTTCATTGCATTTGACCAGCAACTCTTCTGACCTTCCAGGAAGGGCTGATACTTGATCATTTGGGCTAGCTATGGATAACCAGACACTTATTAAGGCACATTGGTATCAATGCATAGTGAAAACAAAATTAATACTAGGGGACAAAATGAATATAGAATGTAGAGAACTTTTCATAAATCTCTACCACTTATGCTTTTAAGGAAGCTTGAACCCAAAAGCACTAACAATTTTTATAATGGCTGGGAAAGAATCATGCCTTTTTATATTAGCCAAATATCATCTTAAAACCCCATTAGAACCCCAGTGAATAATCCAATCTTCAATACCAGGGAACTAATGCAAAAAAGGAATGGCCACATATCAAGAGAAATCCTCTGGCAACCAACAAAGCTGGCTATGTTTCTGCTACTTCGTTAAGAACCAGGAAAGAAATCATTATGTATCTTTAAGTCACCACTGAGTTCTCAAAGAGTTAAAGAGATTCTCTTTCCATCTTTAAATTGGTTCCAGACTGTATCACTGCAAGGAACCAAATGCTCCTGTTAAGCCTCAGAACCATTCCATATACACTTAAATACTTTCTGTTTTTAAAAGTACCCGATATTATTATAAATGATTTCTATAAACAGAAATTACAGAAAGCACTATTACATGTCTAAATTATCTAAGAAGGAACATTCAAGGTTAAAACATCAAGAAAACATTTAACACACACAAAAGACATACACAACATTTTTAGGAGCAAATAGACAGCAACATCAGCAACATAGTGAGATTCGCTCAGTAGTGAGTTGCAGTCAATATTGCAATCTTGAGAATTACTCATTATTTCCATTAATATCTTATTTAAGACAGACACAAAAATCAAATAAAATTGAATGTGAATGACTGTGGGTCAAAAGAGTACTTCAAAGCACTCAGCCTAGAGTGCTCTCTTTGACAGCAGAGCATCCTGCTTGTTCAATTAAAACCCAAACCCACAGGCATCTAGATAGACAATTTTCACTGTTCAAGAAATTTAAATGAAGAAGGACTAATATTAATATTGAAAGGTAAAGTTTTGTATTGATTAGACATTTTACTTTTGAATCCCGAATCCGCTCTGCTGCACTTGCAGACAGGTTGCTGTCACTGTGTGCTCGACTCATGTTGGCACTGGAGTTTGAAGCAGAGTTTCCAACACTGGACCCACTGCTGCTTGCAGAACTGACCATGCTGGCACTGCTGCTGCTGGCACTGGCACCGCTCACTCCACTAGTGCTTGCACAACTAAAATTGCTTCTCTTCCAGGCCTCTCTCGAAGGCCGCTGGCGAGGACTATGCTCCTTGATATAGTTTCTGACCTTGGGACATGAGGATGAAAAACAGCTTAGTGTTATACCTTGATATTTGACTGTCAAGATACTGGAGGGGAAAAAAAATCACATTGTCCTTAATAAAAAAAAAAAAAAAAACTGTCAAAAGTGCTACAAATGTATAAATAAAGTAGAATAGAAGGGCAACAGAAACCTTTAAATTTAAAACAATTACCCAAAAAATTGACTGTTTGAAATGCTAGAAAAGTATAATCAGTGAATGAAAGGCTAATAGAAATCAAAACAAAGCACAATAGATGTGTTTAATCATTTGTAAAATCTCCACTTAAGATGACTTAAGTAAATTAACAATTGTATTTATGATCAGGGTATTTGTTCCTATACTTTAGTGAGGGGTCAATGGTACCTATCTTCAAATGCAAAGCAGCAATTTAGCATAATAAATAAAAAGGGCTGGAATGTAGAAAATTATATTCTATGTCTATTGAGAGAAAAATCAAAATGAGAGAAATTTTTCACAGATGATAAATGCAAAATAAACCAAAAGGAGAACATTAAAATATTAAGTATTCATTTAGCCATCTACTAGAGAAAAAGGAAGCAGCAAAGACTATAATTAGAAGATACCAGAAATATAAGTTTCAGAACGGCAGAGGGAATAGTCATTAGATTTCACCTCAGTCAATTACTCCATAAGACTACTCAAAGCCCTCAGCTAATATATTTACTAAAGTATTGAGCTTGTTAATTAGTATGTTTATTCTGTCAATTCATCTTTTATAAATTGAGTTAGAATAAATCTATACCTTAGCTTAACCACACCTTATATAATAAAACTAAGTTTCAAAGCCTTTATAACTTAACAGCAGGTTCTAGATCCAAGTTGACCAGAAAAGGTACTACCAGGTGAGAAGTACATAAAACCTTTTAAAAGCACATGTTCTCCAATATTACCATTATTTTTTTCATTTTCTTCTTCTTTTCTTTGTGGTGCTAGGAAATGAACCTAGATCCTTGCATATGCTAGGCAAGCAAATGTTCTACCTCTGAGCTATATCCCCAGTCCCATCATTTTTTAAAATACCTTGGTTTATTTATTTATTTTTATGTGGCGCTGAGCATGGAACTCAGTGCCTCACACGTGCTAGGCAAGTGCTCTACTACTGAGCTACAACCCTAGCACCCCCATCATCATTTTTTAAATATTACAAATCACAACAGTGATTTCTCAATGTATATATGCATGATTATTCATTTTACATTTTATAAGATGGTGGCATTTTCAATAGGCAAACAAACTGTATTAACATACCTGCTTCAGTTTTTCATCTGTGAGACAGTTAAGTTCAATGATAAACTCACTGTCTGTAGGGGAGATTTGAGCAGAAGGATCAATGATTTTAATAATATCAAGTTGCTCGCGAAGGCCCATCTCAGTACTGACTTTTCGGCTCAGATACTCAATATATTCCACCTATATGATGAAAAATTACAACACACAATATCAATGCTAAAACCTCTGGTCCTTCAATATACCAATTATAACGTATCTTATGTATCAGAAACACTTAACATTATATTTGGTTCCCGAAAAACAATTAAAGCTCAAATTCAGACTTACTAAACAATCCATATTTACCAAGTGGCTTTAAATAGGAAATAAAATGGGCTTCACATATTCTCCACATATGCTTTCAGTTAAGCATGTCAACATTTTTACCTGTTCATCATTTGTCATTGCACTCCAAGGAAGTTCATCTAAATTTTGGTGCTTGTTTTTCTTTTTAGGAAGCAGGCAAGGTGAACTTGGAATACTGGGTATGACATCAGAAAGTACATCACTTCCACTGGCAATGTCACTGCCTGGTAACTTTATAAAAACAAGGAAGGTAGGAGATAGGGAAAGCAAGATTTTTAAAAACATATTTTGAATATCACAACAAATTTCATTCATTGATTAAAAGTTACTTTTACATAAAACTAATGGTAAATATACCAATCACAGAACATAAATTCAGATGTACACCTAACTTATACACGGCAGCATAATCAATATTCTCTTTGCATATATATATATATATATATATATATATATATATATATTCACTTATTCAATAAAATGTTTTCTGAAAGTTTAAAATCATAATCAAAACTTGTTAAAGTGCTAACTTAAGAGACAATCATCATTAAGGAGCCGGACGCAGTGATGTACATCTGTAATCCCAATGAGTTGGGAGGCTGAGGCAGGAGGATCTAAAGTTCAAAGTAAGCCTTAGCAACTTGGCAAGGCCTGAAGCAACTCAGTGAGATCCTGTCTCAAAATAAAAAGTTAAAAACGGCTGAGGATGTGGTTCAGTGGTTAAATGCCCCTGGGTTCAATCCCTGGTATCCCCCCAAATCATTAAAGATTTTTAATTTAGAGTGCCATTGTTACTAGGGCCCAAACAGCAATAAATAAGAAGTACTGGTCTGAATATTGGGAGATCTGAATGAGCTGTCACTCACTGGCTTTTTGCCAGACGTTTCTAGTCATATTGCCAACAAAAAGACAAATAAACCATGGTTCTTGTCCTTAAGTCCATGTTAACAACCTCAAGAAAATTTAAAAAATTCAAAATATGAATTGCCCTAAAGCAAGAAATTTTAAAGACCAGAAGTACTAAAGAAAATAGAAAAATAGAAAACAAAGTGTAGACAAAAGAGAAATAAAAGCAAGCCTAACACACAGCAAATCAAACCAGCTTAAGGAGAGACAAACAGCAAAAATACATGCCATAATATTATACTGCCTGTTAAAAAAGAGAGGGGATTTAATCTTCATAGCTTTATTAATGTACACTTAAAACCAAAACCGTACATATCAAATGTATACAATTCAATGCATTTGAAAACATACACATACCCAAGAAACCATCACCACAATCAAAGTGATAAGCATATCCCTCACCTCTAAAAGTGAGAATGGATTTAAATAAATGTATTTAACATATATGTCAAAAAGAGAAATCAGGGGCTGGGGTTGTGGCTCAATGGTAGAGTGCTTGCCTAGCAAGTGCAAGGCCCTGGGTTTGATCCTCAGCACCACATATAATAAATAAGATATTGTGTCCAACTATAACTAAAACATAAATATTTTTTTAAAAAGAGAAATCATTTTCTGCTGAAGTAGCATGTAACAATTTTCAAAGATATTGTTTTCATGTTTACAAGGTACAAAACAGCACATTTTTGTTGTTCTATAGTGTTTGCAACTAAACCTGAACTGAGTGATTTCTAGGTTTTTGAAGTTACCAAGAGAAGAGCTTCTTCAGTTACAAAAACTATCACAATCATGTATTTGAACTCCTATTATACGCACAATATAACAAGCACAGGAGATTCAAATGAGTGTAAGTTTTGGTCCTTACACAAAAACATTATACTCCAGTTGGGAAGATAATAACACCCAAATATAACAGAGCACAGGATGAATGCTAGGCCTGAGATGATAGGTCATTCATAGAAATACTTAGCAGTGAGTTGAAACTCCAGGATTAAAGTTATGGAGACCTGTGAGGGTTTTAAAGATGGGAATTGGGAAGTCAATTATATAGAAGAGATTGGGTAAGGCCACAAAAATGGGATCAATGACTATAATTGTGATATTTAGAATGAAACTGTTAGGGACCATTTTTTCTACATCTCCATAAGCAACTAAATCCTACAAACCATATTTTCACTATGATAGTCATTGATGAATCCAATACTAGTGTATAAGTAACTTCCAACAATTTGTAGGACTTGTAAAAATCTCATTAACACTGCTTGAATCGTTCACCCTTATCCCTAATGTTATCAAGCCAGTGCTATAAAAGGATGATTGCTGAATACACACACGAAGGTCATCTCTTTTCCAAGCTTTATTGGCAAAAATGAAAAAGCTCTGCTATTTTTTCATTGATTTCAAAACTTCAAATCACAACGTTACATTAGAGATCTCCCTAGAGTCTCCAAACACAATGAGACCCTCCTTATCAAATGAAAGGTCTCCTGTATTTCAAGTTCCTTCGATAAAGAAGGCAGAAAAAAATAAACACTCAAAATAGCTATATTGGGCTGGGGTTGTAGCTCAGTGGTAGGGCGCTTGCCTAGCATGTATGAGGCACTGGATTTGATCCTCAGCACCACATAAAAATAAATAAATAAAATAAAGGTACTCTGTCCATCTACAACTAAAAAAATATCTTAAAATACCTATACTTTCAAAATCAAGAAATTTTCTTTAATCTAAGTTTTCAGAGAATATCTCCTAGGCGCCAGACTATATGAAATGTGGTTAATGCCATTGATTTCAAAGGATTATTGACAGAACTTTAAATTAGATAACATGCCTGACACATAGATGATACTCAAAAAAGAGATGTATTTTTAAAAACTTCTTCCATCTCTGGCCATGGTTTAAGGTAGCATAAATATTCAGGGAATACTATATGTTGCTAAAGTGACTAGGTTGAGTTTCACAAGGAGGTATTTCAGAATGACAGAAGGGGAAAAGGAAATGGCATTTCAGGTAAAGAGAATAACTTAATGAAATCACAGATGAAAATATAAAAAGGCAAGTTGAAAAACAATACAATTAAAACAAAATCAATGTTAGGGATTTGAAAGCTCAAAAGAAGAACCAGAAGATGTCCAGTGACATATAGAAGTTGGCCTATAGCATCATGTGATGAAAGCAGTCACCAGGGAAAATTAGTTAAAAAGTACTATGGGGACAAAATAGTGAGAAAAGTTTGGAATTAGGATGCTCTTGTTATGATTGAGGCCTGGACTAAAGCAAAAATAGAAAGAAAAAAGGGAATAAATAGGAAATTTTTTTTAATGAAAAACAATTTACAAAGCTGTTTGATAACTGATGAAAGAATAAGGAGTCAGATGTTGAGACTAGAAGAAAACTGGTAATATTTCAAGGTCATATGAACACCCATGGTGATATTCTCAAAGACTTGAATAGTTACAGGAAGAGAACTGAAGCAATCTTACAGATCTTGTAATCCAACACCCTCTTAAAAATAAGGAAAAATGACATCCAGAGAGAGGCATACAACTAGTGGCAGAATTCGAAATTGACACAAGTCCAGTGCTTTCAACTGTGCCAGACAGCCTTGCCTTGGATGCAGTTTGGAATGAGAGAACACAATTTGGTATATTGAGAGTCTGTGGTGATAATGGGAAAAACACAAATGTCCTTTGAACAGACAATAGCCATTTTTCACTATGCTATAAAGACATATCACAAAGCAGAATTTATTTTTTCCTATGGAAACACTATACTTGGAAGTGGCATCACTGACCAAGGATTCAGCATTAGATAACAGGTTAATATTAAATAATAAGGTCATCCAAGTGGAAATGTCATGTGCTCAATTGGACATACGGGATTAGAGAAGCAGTTGTACAGCAGAATTAATTGCATGGGCTCCTGTATATTTATTAGACCAGCAGTGTTCCATTTCATAACTGATAATATATTTCAGAATAAAAATGTTTAATGAGTCCTATCCTATATTTTTCAGGGATAATATTTGGTATATTTATATTATAATCAGTAATTGTGACATATAAGGAGAATTAAATCAAAGCTCTGCCATATTTTCTGCAGGATGCAGCAGAATTTTATGAGTAAGCTCATTTCTGTAACAGCTGATGTGTAATTTCAGATTGCACCTCTAGGTTTCAATTGTGACAGCTGAATTACTCTGTAAATTTTCTAAGCTCTCCTGCCCAACAATAGAAATAATTTCTCAAGCTCTAAGACTAGTCAAATATATCTTCAATAATGAAAGGACTGCAAGCAATGCAAATGATCAGTAAGCAAAATGCACTGATGCTACCTCAAATGCTAAGATCTGCTTTATTCTAAGGTTCAAATCTTGCTTTATCAAGAAGTTAGCATTTCTCTTCCTAGAGAATCTATGAATCATTTTTTATTTATTTTTATTTTAGTAGCAACTGAAATATCTAATGTTAAAAGAAAGATTTAAACACATATGCTTTTTAATCTCAACAGAGGTAATATGAATTTTTAAACTATAGTAAACGATTTTTACTTTATATTATTCCTAACATATAATTTGTAATTATCCTCTTGGACAATTTACTGCTCATCATTATGAGGCCCCACAAAAATAAGACAGCATTTCAAACCTTTCAGCATATTTAAATAGTAAATATCCATGGTAACAGAGTACCCATACTCCAATTTCAGAAGTGGGAAAACACATTACTAAAGCAGACCTGATTTTTGTTCCAACATTTTAGCCACTAATGTACATTAACTGTGAGTAGTTGTGGATGGATTTCCACTCTAATCACTCATGAAATGAGTGAAGAAGCCAGCAATTAAAAATTTTAAAAGCCTGCCACATTGTGACATTATAGATGATAAGAATTCTAAATAAATCATATGAACTAAGCAGAAAATATATTTCCCATAATCATCAGGGCTCTATCTGATTATACTTTATTAAGAATCCTTGAAGTATGATTTTAAATACAATTTACACACTTAAAAATGAGATTCTAAAGTATAAAAAAGACACACAAAAATTATCACTGTGGTGTTATCTGTAACAAAAAATTGAAACAGAAGTAAACAAAACATTTTCACAAGTTCTGGCATGTCTAACAGCAGGAATATCATGTAGTCATTACAAAATGTATTATGAAGAACATGGAAAAATTCATACGTTAAATAAGAAAATATTACAAAATTTTATCAAGAAGAAAGAACATTTCCTAACTCCTTCTATGAGGCCAGTGTTACCTGATACCAAAGAAAAACAAAGATAAAAGAAAACCAGAGACTAATATCCCTTATGAGTACAGATGCAAAATTCCTTAAAAAATACTATACAACTGTGTCCAGGGGCTGGAGTTAAGGCTCAGTAGTAGAGAGCCTGCCTAGCACATATGAGGCACTGGGTTCGATCCTCAGCACCACATAAAAATAAATAAATAAAATAAAGGTATATGTCTATCAACAACTAAAAAAAAAAAAAAAAAACAAAAAAACTATATGCAGAAGCACATTAAAAGGACTATACACCGGGTTGGGGATGTGGCTCAAGTGGTAGTGCGCTCTCCTGGCATGTGCAGGACGCTGGGTTCGGTTCTCAGCACCACATAAAAATTTAAAAAAGATGTTGTGTCCACCGAAACTAAAAAATAAATATTAAAAAATTATCTCTCTCTCTTTAAAAAAAAAAAAAGGACTATGCACCATAACCAATTAGGATTTATTCCAGAAAAGTAAGGGTAGTTAAACATGAAAATCAACCAATGTAACACTACCAATTCTATTAATAGAATTCCAATCAATTCTATTAATAGAATGAAGAAGGAACACATCATCTAAACTGATGTAGAAATAACATTTGATGAAATTCTATACTCTTTCATGAAAAAAATTGTACCAATTGGAACAAAAGATGAATTCCTCAGTATGATATAGGGTGCTTATGGCAAAAAATAAATAAATAAATTTCTCCCCTGAGATGAGAAAAAAACACAAGATCCTCCCATTCTCATCAATTCTATTCAACACTGTATGATCCAGCCAGGGCAATTAAACAAGAAATAAAAGATATCCAGATTGGGAAAAAAGGAAGGAAAAACTATCTCTATTCACAGATGACATGATGTTAAATGTAGAAAAACCTGGAGAATCTATACAGGGAAAAAACTATTAATGCTAACAAACAAGTTCAGCAAAGTTGCAGGATACAAAATCAGTATACAGAAATTAATTAGACATCTTTAAACATATATACACTTGCAATGAACAATCTGAAAATGAAATTAAGAAAATGGTACCATTTATAATAATGGCACAAAGAATAAAGTATTTAGGAATACATTCAACCAAGGAAGTATAAGAGTTAGGCACTGAAAACTCTAAAACATCACTGAAAGAAATTAAAGGAGATGTAAATAAAGACATTCCATCTCATTTCTTGGATTGGAATATTTAATACTGTTAAGATGTCAATACTCCCCAAACTGACGTATGGATTCAATGCAATCTCTCTCAAAATTCCAACTGCCATTTGTAGAAATGGATAACCTGGTCCTAAAATTCATATAGAATTGGGAGGGACCTCCAAAAGCAAACCAATCTTTATAAAGAAAAATAAAGTGAGAAAACTCCCACTTTCCATTTTGAAAGCTTACTACAAAACTGTAATTTAAACAATGCTGTACTGGCGTAAGGACAGACACACATATTAATGGAAAATAATTGAGAGTCCAAAGATAACCCTATTTTGGATAGGGTGCCAAGACTGTTTAATGAGGAAAAAATAGTCTTTTCAACAAATGGTGCTGGAACAACTGGAAATCCACATGCAAAGGAATGAATTTGGACCTTTATTTCATACTGGAAAGAAAAAGTAATTCAAGATGGATCAAAGACCTAACTTAGTATAAGAACTAAAACTCTAAAACTCAGAGGAAAACAGGTGAAAATCTTAATGATACTGGATTAGTCTACAAATAAATTAGACTTCAAAATTCAAAATGTTTACATAAGATACTATGAAGTGAATAGAAACTATCAAGTGAAAAGACAATCCACAAAACAGGAAAAAATTTTGTAAATTATATACCTGATAAAAGTTTAGTAGCAAAAGAACTCTTAGAACTAAAAGATAGCACAATTTAAAAAACAAGTAAAGGACTTAAATAGAACAACATCAAAGATGATGTACAAACAGTCAATAAGCACAGAAGAAGTTGTTCAACACAATTAGTCACTAGAAAAATATACACAAAACTCACAAGAACATAACCACTTCACACCCAATAAGACACTATAATCAAAAGAAAGAATACCAAGTGTAGGCAAGAATGTGGAGAAAGTGAAACTTTCATACACTGCTGGTGGAAATGTAAAATGAGGCAGCTACTCTGGAAAACATTGTTGGCAATTCCTCAAAATGTTATCATATCAAGTCTTAATAATGGTGACCACAGTGGAGTGAGACTTTGAGACTTTTAACTTCATGTCATTCTGCATTATTTGATTTTAAGAATTTTCTGAAATAAAATATCTGATTCCTGTTTTGGAATATCACTTCAAGTATTCAGTTTTCAAATATAGTAAGCATTCAAGCTTATTTGTGGAATAAAACATTTGCTGTACGAAAGAAGAGCTCTTGGAATGTTATTGCCTTTTATAATCAGTAAAAAGGATGTAGGGAAAACATCATCTATATTTTCTGATAGACTGTACTCATTATGAGGCAGCATTTTCAAACAATTTGCCACAAAACCATTTTGTATGGTATACATGCCATGAGAAAAGTGTCAGGTGAAAAAAATATCTACAAAGAGAATACAAAATGAGAAATTATATTCCATTTCTGATAACAAAACCAAAAATTATGTATTTATGGTAATAATGGTTTATGGCATTAGATACATAAGGTGACACTGATGTGTGTCCTATGAGGACAAAAGGCTATCTATTACAAAGCAGGGAAAATAAATGTGCCTGGATTCATGCACAGAAAAGTACTGATTATTTTGTAAACAAAAACCTACAAAAGGGGCTGGGGCTATAGCTTAGTGACAGAGTGCTTGCCTAGCATGTGTGAGGCACTGGGTTTGATCCTCAGCACCACGTAAAAACAAACAAATAAAATAAAGGCATTCTGTCCATCTATAACTACAAAATTAAAAAAAAAAACCTACAAAAGGATTATCTATAGCATCATAAGGCTAAAGGATATATTTGCAAAAATAAAAAATACATATTTCATTGAATTCTCAACCTTAAAATGTGTTGTCAAAGAATTCCCAGATCTGGAGATTGTAGAAAAACTTACTTTGAGGTAGAAATAAAAAAAAGAAAAAGAAAAATTGCATTTGTATTTATATAGTAATAATGTCAATTAAAGAAAAAACAAAGCTGGGCATGGTGGCACACACCTGTAATTCCAGTGGTTCAGAAGGCTGAGATAGGGGGATTGCAAGCACAAAGCCAGCAACTTAAGAAAGACCCTGTCTCAAAATGAAATATTAAAAACCAAAAGTGCTGGGGATGTGGCTCAGTGGCTAAGTGCCCCTGGGTTCAATCCCCAGTAAGGGGGCAGGGAGATGACCAAATACCTACCTGCCATTCAAATTCACTATCTGACCAATCCCAGTAAGTACTAATAGAAGAAGACACATCACTGCAGACACTCCCCTCAGGGAACAAATCAAAAGAAGTGAAGTCTTGATCATCTAACAGGGAATAGCAATCATCTTGATCTCCAACAGAAACTGATGAAAACAGCTCCTCACTGCATTCTGAGCTGGCAACACTTGTTCCACACGAAGTTAGGTTCCACCTTTAAAAACATAACATAAAAGAAATCATGACAGCGACTACAGTCCACACACTTTGAAGTTATTAATAGGAAACATTTATGAGGAATGTATTTTTAGGTAATATATAAGTGTGATTATTTTTAAAAAGCATTTACATTTTAAGAAAATATACTAAAATATTTATGAGTAAAATATGTCTGGGATTTGCCTCAAAATAATAAGAAAGGAGTTGGGGAATAGGTTAGAAATATAGATAAAGCATGATGCCATATGTGAAAAATTGAAGCTGGGTGATGTGTACAAAAGGTTCAGTATACTATTTTCTTTTATAGCTGTCTGAAAAACTTTATTTTAAAACAAAAATATATTTAAATTAGGAATGAAGTAGAACCTTCTTCCAAAACAAAATATATAACACAGTGGGTATGACTAAGCCTTGGAGTCAGAATGAGTACAAATTCTTGCTCTGTCATCATCTGCTAGCTCTTTGATCTTAAGTAAATCACAACCTTTCCAAGCCTACGTCCTCATCTTTAAAATGGAGTTATTGTGAGCAGTATATAAGAATGCATACAGAGAATTTAGCACACATAAAAAGTGCTCAATACATGACAGCTATTATTACTAAATTAAAGGACAAGGACAGCCAGTTCGTGGCAGAGAAAATCACCAACAACGTACACAGGAAGAAGTTTAAGAAGTGGTTGTTATATTTAAATAACTTTTATATATTAATGTTACACAGGATCACTGTAGAGATGCTGGAATAAAAAAAGAGTAAATATGTTTAAAAGGTCCTATAGTTCCACTATCCAGCAACAGCTAGCCTATAAAATTTTGTAACTGTTTTCTAGATGCATATATATATTTTTTACAGAATTGGCAATTAGCCTACGTATACATATATGTGTATACACTGAATATTATATACTGAACATTTTTCTAAGCACAAGTTGAATATCTTGTTTACACTGAATATTGTTTATACTGAATATTATATACCGAACATTTTTCTAAGCACAAGTTGAATATCTTGTTTACACTGAATATTATATACTGAACATTTTTCTAAGCACAAGTTGAATATCCCTTACCTAAAACATTTAAAACAAAATGGGGACCAGAATTGTTTCCATCATTTTTAAAATTTTGAATTATTTGCATATACATAATGATATGTATTGGGGATGAGACCTGAGTATAAAAATGAAATACATTTGTTTCATATACACTGTAAACACATATCCTGAAAGTAATTTTATACAATATTTTTAATGCACCTATTTTTTTTTTGTCTTGAGGTACTAGGCACTGAGCTATATCCACACCCTCTTTTACTTTTTATTTTGAGACAGGGTTTCACTAAATTGCTAAGGCTGGCCTCAAACTTGCAATCTTCCTGCCTCAGGCACTGGAGTAGGTGAGATTAGAGGCATGTGTCATCACATGCAGGTAGTGCACCTGTATTTTGACTGCATTCCATCACGTGAGGTCACAGTGGAACTTTCCACTTGCTATGTCGAGTTGCCATTCAGGAAGTTTCAGATTTTGAATTTTTACATTAGGTATACTCAACCTGCATATTATTTGAAACTATTTTAATATCAATATAATATTATATTGATTGAATGAATCATAACTTATTTACCTTATTTCCCCAATAACAGATATGTAGACTGCTCTCTGTTTTTATATATTACACATAATACAGAGATAAGCTTTTTGTTTATAATTATTTATCCAAACATCAATACTCCCAGGATAGACTGCTTGAAAGGTAAGTACTGAGTCAAAGAATATAAACACTCCTAAGGGCCACAGTACATTTAGTCAAATACCTTTTTGAAAGGCTGCATCAATTCATATTCCCCAAGGCAACATATAAATATGTTAATTTGGGGCTGGGGATATAGGACAGTGGTAAAGTACTTGTCTAGCAAGTGGAAGGCCCTGGGTTCAAGCCACAGTACCACAAAAAAAAAAAAAATCAAAACTGAAATAAGGTTCATCTCACCATAACCATAACAGCAAAGAAATCTTCATTTAAGAAAACTTTTACCTATCTCCTGGGACAGAAATATTTTATTCACATTTTTATTTGATTATCAGGATGATCAAAACTTTAAATATGTATTAGCTATTTTTCTAATGGTGTTTTTCTATGTGTTAAATGTTTTCATCTATTGATTTCATGAATTCTTCATGCATTAAGAATATTAAGATTTTTTTCATGTACTATTTGTTAAAGGGATTTTGGGGTTTGCCTGTTTTGTTGTTGTTTTATGGTCTTAAAAATCTATGAAATTTACTGGGCATGATGATGCATGCCTATAATCCAAGGCTCGAGAAGCTGAGGGAGGAGGATTGCGGGTTCAAAGCCAGCCTCAGCAACTTAGCAAGATCCTACGCAAGCGATACCCTGTCTCTAAATAAAAAATATATAGGGGGCTGGGGTTGTGGCTCAGTGGTAGCATGCTTGCCTGGCATGTGTGAGGCACTGGGTTTAATCCTCAGCACCACATAAAAGTAAATAAATAAAGGTACTGTATCCATCTACAACTAAAAAACAAAGTTTTATATATATATATATATATATATATATATATATATATATATATATAGAGAGAGAGAGAGAGAGAGAGAGAGAGAGAGAGAGAGAGAGATAGCGCTCGCGCGGGAAGTGGCTCAGTGGTTAAGTGCCCCTGGGCTCATTCCTGTTACCACTCCCCCCCCAAAAAAAAAAAGGTATAAAATTTGTTTTCTTTTGTAAATTTCCACTAGTTTCATACCATTAATGAGATAATGAGATCTTTTTCATTGCTTTGCTAGTAGAATAGGGAATTAATTCTGAAGATAATGATTTAGTATTTCCAATACTAATAAGCTACTGAACTAATGGCTTCCTGAAGAAAAGCCTATTATTTATCTATTATTAGGTTGTTCCTCATCCTTCATTAAATCCAGATTTTTTGAATTATAAAATTTTTTAACTTCCTTCTCTGCTTTTTTTGAAGTGGAAATTGAATTCAGGTGCACTTTACCACTGAGCTACATCCCCAACCTTTTATTTTTAATTTTGAGACAGAGTCTTGGTAAATTGCTGAGGCTGACCTCGAATTTGAGATCCTACTGCCTCAGCCTCTGGAATCTCTGGGATTACAGGAGATGACACCACCCACAGCCTTTCCTTATTTTTCATAGCTAACATTAAATTCAGAAGTTCATGATTTAACAAATTTGGAAAACTCAAAAAATGTATGGTATCTATTTCTGCTGAGCTGACAGTAGAGTTGAAATGTGCAGGAGCCTGTATAGACACACTCAACTATTACAGTTCAATAAATAAAAAGCACATGTTGATAATTTGTTACAAATCTATCATTCATCTAAGAATTATAGAATACTATGTAGTATTACTTAGTTTCATTGTATCCTTGCTGTGTGGGCAGTATCCTCATTTAAAAAAATTAACAAACTAGTAGATCTAACCAAATTGCTCAGAGCTTGCAATAAAAGCTCTAAACCTCAATCATAAGTGCTCTCCTAGACACAGTAAGCCAGTTACACTGAGCAAACTATTTTCTCTTCAAACTGCTTGTCTTCAAATTGCACATGACTTTCCCCCCTTTATTCATTCACCCATTCAACAAACATTTAGTCAGTATCTTCTGTGTGCCAAATACAATGTTCACTGTTAGGAAAAGCTGTTAGATAATTGTTTTTTAATTAGAATTTCTTTTCAGCTTGTAAAAATTCTGCTGAAACGTATTTCCCTCAATGAGTAATAACATACCTTTTTAAAAAGCTATGTCACATTTGATAATCTAACCATTAGTTTACTGGAAAGTTAGGGATTTGCATGGTTTTGTGCCCTTACCATAAGGCAAAATTAGTATGTTTCTCAGATTTATGACTATGTAACAAGGTTCTAGATATTCTCAGAAGCCTCTGTCTTTTTTATTATCAGTAGCAAGTAAACTGGGCTTTTTACTTTACAAATCATTTACAAAATAGAAAAAAAAGTATTTTTATTACTAATGATTTTTTAAAAATTCTTTATCTTCTAATTTATAATATTGTTTTATTATTATTTTAAAGCAGTGTGGATAAAAACATAGCAAGAAATACTTTTATCCATTTCTGATATGAGTATAAATTGATATAATCCTTTTGAAAATCAATTAGTAGTATATGCATACCAAAAGCATTAAAAAGGTTCATTCTTAGCAGGGTTCGGTGTCACACTCTTATAATCCAACCCACTTGGGAGACTGAGGCACAATGATTACAAGTTCAAGACCAGCCCCAGCAACTTAATGAGACCTTGTCTCAAAATAAAAAATAAAAAGGGCTGGGATGCAGCTCAATGGTAGAGTCCCATGCGCCCAATCCCAAGTGACACCCTCCCCCCCACCAACGAAGGTCCGTACCTTTGGACTCCATTAATTTATATTCTAGGAAATCTATTCCTTTCCCCAAATAGAAATTTAGAAAAAATAAATTTCAAATATGTCAAAAATATCATTTATATTGGGCTGGGGATGTGGCTCAAGTGGTAGCGTGCTCGCCTGGCATGTGTGCGGCCCGGGTTCGATCCTCAGCACCACATACCAACAAAAATGTTGTGTCCACCGAGAACTAAAAAAAATAAATATTAAAAATTCTCTTTCTCTCTCTTTAAAAAAAATATCATTTATAATAGCAAAAATGGGAAAATAAATGACCTTAAAACCTGGGGAATAACTGTCATATCTCAATAACAGTATTTTTGTAATCATTTAAAAAATCACATTTTCAGATGATTTGTTGAAAAGGAAAACATTCATCTATATTAGTGCAAATAAACAAATCACAAATAGTATATGTGGCCTGATAGTGATTTTTAAAAATTACATAGGTTAAGCATCACTAATCTGAAAATCCAAAATTTGAACCTTTCCAAAATCCATTCAACTTTTTGAATGTTGACTTGACACAACAAGTGGAAAAAAATTCCACTCTGACCTTGTGATGGGCTGCA